TGCTTCTACAGTAGCTTTCTGTACCAGAAGCGTAGCACACAGCAACACATGACTTGTACTTGTGATCTCTAATGTATTTCAGCCCCTGTTGCCTGATTGGTTATGCCAGTTAATAACAGGTGTAAACCTATCAATCTGATTGTTACACAAATAACCAGTCAGATCACCTAGACAAAGGCCAGTGAAATTGCTTAGAGACGGACCAATTAGATTGCCTTTTAGGTATGTATAGATGGTATATATAGAAGTGCCTCTGCCTCCTTTGCTTTGGCTGTAACAGTAACCTGTACTTGGTTACCATTGTGTCCTGCTTTCTTTCTTTCTTTCTTTTTCTTTTTTTAAATAATAAATTTATTGATTGTTTCACGTGAGAACAGTTACAAAGCTTTCGGGTTGGAGTCTCGGTCATGTAATGATGAAACACCCGTCCCTTCACCAGTGCCCATTCTCCACCACCAAAAACCCCAGTATACCCCCATCCCACACCCTCCCCCTACCTGTGGGGCAGATGATTTCCACATTACTCTCTCTCTGCTTTTATTACATTCAATATTTTGACACCAGACCCACCATTATTATTTGGGATTTTCCCCCAACACTCAGACCTGCTGAAAAGGCAGCATTAAACAATTTGTTTTCTATTGTTGATTATGAATAGAATATGATGTTGTGCAGCCACTGTTGTGGCCGCGTGATTTTGGAATTCTGAAATTTTAATTAAATCTGGAGGGATTTCTGCTCAAAGCCTCTGGGTTCCAAGATTCATTTGTGTGTCTCTGGGATCATGGCCGTTAAGCAGTTTGATCAGTAGCCAGAGGGGCCGTTCATGAGTGGTGACTTGGGGTCTCGTTGGCGGGCGGGGGTGGGGGAGACAAGGGCCAGCTCCATCTCCATCTTGGGAGGCTCCACATGTCTTGTCACTGCTGGCCCATATCTGACTGTCCAATGGCCTCTGGAAGATGGCAGCCACCAAGCTGGTAGGGGAAATAGGCGGAGGGATGGCACCTTTTCCCACCTGGGGTGGCCGGACACCAGTAACCTAATGCAGAGAGTCCAGACACATTTCTGCCAAAAACTGCTGAGTTCTGAGATTCGTGGGTCTCTGGGATCATGGCAGTTAAGCATCTTCATCAATAGCCAGAGGGGTCGTTCATGGGCAGTGACTGACTCAGGGTCTCTTTGGGGCAGGGGATGTGTCCTGCTTTCTACTCAGCCATTACGTTGAGAACAGTAGGTTGTTTCCAAAGTGTTGGTTGTGTGCAGAAAACTTTCAAATATTTATAGTTGGCACTTCTCAGACAACTGAAACTCAGGCTCAGCTTCAAACTTATCTTGGTTTTTGTCTTTCCCAAAGGCTTCAAACGCCATATACCCAGAAGAGTTCATTCTTCTCCTTTTACATTCTGTAGTCTATAGTATTGTGTTTTTCTTTGATGTTTGTTATGTTGTGCCAAAGCAGTGTGCTCCACTTACGTGCCCATTGGAGGGTAAGCTGGCTATTATTGCCCTTAGATTTGCAGTTCCTGGGGTGCCTCAGTTAGGAGAAAGTTAGTTTTCATTAAACACCTCTCTGTGGCATGTTTCCTTATGCACAGTTTAGTCCTGAAGATTGTTTACCAGGGCACTGGGTATGTGCTCTCTTTTTCAAGTCTTCTAAGCGTCTGAAAAGCATCTAATTCTAGATTTTCTATTAGACTTTCTTTCTTTCTTTCTTTCTTTCTTTCTTTCTTTCTTTCTTTCTTTCTTTCTTTTTTCTTTTTGAGTCACACCAAGTGCTGCACAGGGTTACTTTGGCTCTATGCTCAGGAATTACTCCTGGTGGTGCTTAGGGATCATATGGGATGCTGGGGATCGAACTCAGATTGGTTGTGTGCAAGGCAGATGCTCTTCTCACTGTACTATCACTCCGGCCCTTACACTTTCAGTTATGAGTTCAGTTGATAGGTGGCTTCAGCGCCCATTGTCGGCTGTAGCTATTTTGAATACTTCCCTATGACTGGAATTTATCTAACAGAAACTTCTTAGTTGGTTAGGACAAGGAGGATTGATTATATTAATAAAGAGCCTATTAATAAAGAGCCAATTTCTTTAAAAAATATTTTATTGAATCACTGTGAGACGTGGTTACAAAGCTTTCATGTTTGAGTTTCAGTCATACAATGATCGAATACCCATCCCTCCACCAGTGCACATTTTCCACCACCAGTGTCCCCAGTATTCCCTGTGCGCATGTGCGCGCGTGCGCACATCCATCCCACCTCTCCCCCTGCCTCCATGGCAGACAGTTTTCCCCATCCTCTCTCCCTATTTTAGGCATTATGGTTTGCAATACAGATACTGAGAGGCTATCTCTTTGGTCCTTTATCTACTTTCAGCGCGCATCTCCCATCTGGAACTATCCCTCCAACCATCATTGACTTAGTGGTCCCTTCTCTATTTCCAGCTTCCTTCTCCCCCAGATCATGAGGCAGGCTGCCAACCGTGGAGCAATCTTCCTGGCTCTGTCTCTACTGTCCTTGGGTGTCAGTCTTATATTATGTTATTTTATATTCCACAAATGAGCTCTCCAAGAGGGTTGGAAGAATCGAACCCGGGTCGGCTGCATGCAAGGCAAACGCCTTACCTGCTCTGCTTTCACTCCAGCCCCTCTAATACCAAACCAGGATTAATTTTTTTTGTGAGGGATGGACCAACCTGATAGCACTCAAGGTTTACTCCTGGCTCTGGCTCAGTCTTACTGGTGTTCTTTGAAGAACAGGACTATTTAAATTTGAAGTTCAGTTTATTTTTAAATCAGAATTCTGAGCTTACTGTTTTTATGTGTTTTAATAAAAGATTTTGCCCACACAGGGTTGTGAAGATTATTTCCTGTTTACTTGATTTGTGTTTCCTCTCTTATGGTTTTCACTTCTATTTTCAGGTCTGTGATCCATATTGAGTCATTTTTATATATGGTGTGAGTCAAGGAAGGAACAGCACCTCTTAATACAATAATATTTTTGAGATATTTCATTTCTGAACAGTTCTCACAGTTTTGTATTTGTATGCTTGTTATATATTATTTCCACGTCCTTTGAATGGTGAACTTTTTTATCCTTTTGTCTGTGTGCATTAGTTCATTCGGCATTCCTGCTTATTCTAAAAGCTCTCTGAAACCCTTTTGAGTCTTGAGAAGCCTTCTTTTTAGCTGCTTTTCATGTTCTTCCATTAGATGCCAGCTTAGTTTAGTTCCGAAAATATCATTATTTTTTTTTTATATCTGCAAATTATTTATGGCAGTGATTTAGTTTAACTATTGGGTGTATAACAAGCATTCAGTAAAGTGAAATAAAGAACTATGTTAAGATCATTTCAGTAAAAATTAACCTCGCCATTCCATATTGAATTCATTGATTTGGGATCATATAAGGTTAAATTTATAAGTAACTAGTTTTTCTTTAAGATGTATAGACTTATTGAAATAATATCTATGGTTCTGAGATGTTTTTCAATAGCAAGTAGTTAATTTGAATGTTTTATAATTTTTTCCTTTCCAGCAATACCTAGGACATTCTATTTAATTGTTGCATGAGGGCCAGAGAGATAGTATGTTGGGTAGGGTGTTTACCTTGCACATGGCTAGCTTGGGGTCAATCCACAGCACCACATACGGTCTCCCAAGTCCTGCCATGAGTGTTACCTGAGCACAGAGCCAAGAGTAAGCCCAGAGCATGGCCAGGTGTGACTCAGAAAAAAAAATATGACAAAATAAAAACAAAATAAATGTTGCCAGGACCAGATAAATAGTGCATTGGATAGGGCACTTGCCTTAAATGTGGCCAATGTAGGTGTGATCCCTAGTACCACATATGGTCCCTTGAATCTGCCAGAAGTGATCCCTGGGTGCAGAGCCAGGAATAAACCCTGAGCACCACCAGGTATGAACCAAAATCGAAACAAAACAAAGCAAAATGGAAGTCCTTTCTCATTAAAAGACAGAAACTCCACTTAGTTGGAATATAGGATTGATTCTTTCTATTTCTCAAGAGAATCCAGGAGTTTAAATACATAGAAATGTTTGTATATATGAGCAAGTAAATGATTCTTTCAGTTTTAACATTAGTAATAGTTTGGTTTTTAATATAAACACTGCATGGGCCGGACACTGTTTGGAATGAGGCAAAATGGAAAAAAAGGAAGAGAATTTGCTAATTTGTATGTATCTGCTTTGGTCTTTTAAAGCACTCACTACCTTATAAAGATGATATGATGAGTTCTTCCATAAAGTTTGTTAACACCTCTTCCTAGTGTGGTTTCTCAGTAAGTCTTCTCAGCTACTTATCCCACCAGATTTCTTCTGCTGTGAATTTTTAATGGACATATTGGAAAATTATGACGGGACTAATTGTACTTATATATTTAACTTAATTTACTATTTTATGCTTTCAATTGTATTGAAATTGCTATGCTTAGATGAAAAAATATAGATATTATTTAGTGAATGCTAGCAAAATATTGAAATTATGCATATTTTATTTCGTCTGTTTAGTTTTGGGTTTTGGCTCATACCAGCAGTACTGAATGTCTGCTTGTGGCTTGGTGCTCAAGGCTCTCTCCAGGTGGTGCTCCTGGGACTATTTGGTGTTGAGGATTAAACCTGAGCTTCTCTCATGCAAAGCATGTACCAGCTGTCTCTTTAGCCCTTATGCATATCTTATTTATTTTCTTTTCATTTTAGTTTCTGTTTTGTTTTTTTGGGGCCACATGTGGTGAAGTTCAAGGAGTACACCTGGCTCTGTGCCCAAGGGTCACTCCTGGTGGTGCTCAGGGGACAGTTTGTGATGCCAAGGGATCCTGGGCTATCCCCAGCAAGGCGAGTGTCATACCCCCTGTACTGATCCCCATCAGAGATATTTTAAAATGTCTTAAACAGTAACTTAATTGCTTTAGTGAAATTTTAGTATAGTATTATTACTTCATCCAGGAGATTAGGTCTTAAGCAAGTTTTAATTGTGTTTTAGACTGTTAGAGACGGATAGTAAGTCTTTAAGATCTGTAAATGGGTCCAGAAGAAACAGTGGCTCCTCCCTTGTGTCAAGTTCATCCGCTTCCAGCAACCTCAGCCATCTTGAAGAAGACTCTTGGATTCTTTGGGGAAGAATTGTTAACGAATGGGAAGATGTACGCAAAAAGAAGGAAAAGCAAGTTAAGGTATTTAAGTCCTCTGTTGAAATTTTTTTTAATTAGAGGTCATTAGTTATAAATTAATAGAAGATGGTAAATCAAAATTCTATTTTTTTAGGCATCGTAAACAAAAGTTTTGTTTAATATTTTTTCACTTACACAGAAGCTTTTGTTTTGGGGCCACACCTAGCAATTCTCAAGGCTTGCTTGCTGGCTCTGCCCTCAGGGACCAATCTCCGAGGAGTTCTGGTGACTGTATGTGGTGCCTGGTCCTGGGGATAGAACCCAGGTTGGATATATGGAGGCAAGCACCCTACCCACGGTCTTATCTCTCCGACCCTGAAATGTTTTGACTTATAAATAAATGTTGTTAAAGCTCTCTTAATTGGAGAAATAAGGATCTGAAAAATCAAAATCATTTTAAAATTTATCTGTTTTCTAAATTCAGAAACACAATTGTGCTATCACTTAAAATTCCAAATTTAAAATTCAAAAATATACAAAATAAATATGCATAATATCAATATTTTGTTGGCATTGACTAAACAACATCTGCAGTTTTCATCTAACAGCAATTTCAAAGCATGAAATATTAAAATTATGTTAGATAAGTGCTATTAGTCCCCTCATGATTTGCCATTATTAATAACTAATCACTATCACTGTCAGTGTCCTCCTGTTGTTCATCAATTTGCTCGAGCGGGCCCAGTAACATCTCCATTGTGACACTTGTTACTGTGTTTGGCATATCGAATACGTCACGAGGAGCTTGCCAGGCTTTGCCTTGCCGGCTTGATACTCTCGGTTGCTTTCCAGGCTCCCTGAGAGGGTGGATGAATTGAACTTGGGTCGGCCATGTTGGCTGCATGCAAGGCAAACATACCCGCTGTGCTATCGCTCCAGCCCAATAACTAATAATTAATATTTTATTTATTTATTTTTGCTTTTTGGGTCACACCCAGCAATGCACAAGGGTTATTCCTGGCTCTGCGCTCAGGAATTACTCCTGGTGGTGCTCAGGGGACCATATGGGATGCTGGGAATCGAATCGATCCCAGGTCGGCCACGTGAAAGGCAAATACCCTACCTGCTATGCTGTCGCTCCAGCCCGTTTTTTGTTTTATTTGACCTGAAACAGAACAGGTGATGATTATTTAACAAATGCCAACCAAATATTCTGTCATGTGCATCTCCGTAGATTATTGTTTTTTTTTTCTTTTTGGGTAACACCAGTGAAGCACAGGAGTTATTCCTAGCTCATATACTCAGGAATTACTCCTAGTCGTGCTTGGGGGACCATATGGGATGCTGGGAATTGAGCCCGAGTTGGCTGTGTGCAAGGCAAACGCCTTACCCACTGTGCTGTCACTTCAGCCCCTAGATTATCGTTCTTAATATATTTAGAGGTGTCATTCTCAGTGAACATAAAAGAATTTATCGATGATATTATGGTGTATTTCCACCCCCAGCCCAGAGTAGAATGCATACACCCAAGGGCCAGATCTGAGACTTAGTTGATAGGCTGTCTGCTCTTGTTATTAAAACTAGCGTTGTGAATTATAAATTTGATTAAATCTTCCATTCTACTACAACTTATTAAATCTTTGGCTTTCAAGTTAAGATAAATAATTCATTAAAATTTTTATTTACTTTCATTTTAGGAGCTTGTTCGTAAAGGGATACCTCACCACTTTAGAGCAATAGTTTGGCAACTTTTATGCAATGCACAAAGCATGCCAATTAAGGATCAGTATTCAGAACTACTGAAAATGACCTCACCTTGTGAAAAATTGATCCGAAGGGATATTGCTAGAACTTACCCTGAACATAATTTTTTTAAGGAAAAGGATAGCCTTGGACAGGAGGTTTTATTTAATGTAATGAAGGTAAGTTCTATTCATTTTGGTTGTTAGTTGGTTTTTCTTTTCATGATACTAGGTATTTTTCACAATGATATATGCGCTTTCACCCTAATAATGAGTTGTTTTGACAATAAATTTGACTTTAGCATAATTTCAGCTTTAATTCATATGTTACATTATTATCCAGTTTGGAGAACTTATTAAAAATATTTGATATGCCAAACACCGTAACAGGTGTCACAATGAGGACATTACTGGGCCCGCTCGAGTAAATCGATGAACAATGGGAGAAGAGTGACAGTGATTAAAAATATTATTGGCTAGCTTGCTATAAGTAGTTAAAACTAACCTATAAATTAATATAACATAGTGAGATTACCTTTTCAAAGGAAATAATTCACTATATATGATTTTCGCGATCTGGGAACAAAATTCTTTGCTTGCTATGGCCAGTGTTGTTAAGTAACTGTAACCTTCCTCTTTGAAAGTTTGTGGTGTTAGTTTTTCCTTTAGTATTGCCTCCCCCTTCCCACAGTTCCTTTTTTTCCCCTCTATAAAGTACTGATTGATTTTTTTTAGGGGGTGGGTAGGGGTACATCCAACAGTGCTCATGGTTTCTGGTTCTGTGCTTAGGGATCAGGGATCACCCATTGTGGGCTTGGGGGACCCTTTGGGATTGCCTGGGATTGAACTCAGGTTGGTCACATGCAAGACAAACACTTTATTGTCTGTTTTATCATACCGGTCCCCTTCTTTCTTTCTTTCTTTTTTTTTTTTGGGTCACACCCAGTGATGCACAGAGGTTATTCCTGGTTCCTCCCCCCCTTTTTTTTTGCTTTTTGGGTCACGCCCGGCAATGCACAGGGGTTATTCCTGGTTCTGCACTCAGGAATTACCCCTGGCGGTGCTCAGGGGACCATATGGGATGCTGGGAATCAAACCAGGGTTGGCTGCGTGCAAGGCAAATGCCCTACCCGTTGTGCTATTGCTCCAGCCCTTGGTCCCCTTCTTTCTTTCTTTTTTTTTTTTTAATTTTTATTAGTGAAACACGCTGAGGTACAGTTATCGACTTATAAGTTTTTGGGTTTCAGTTATACAATGATTGAGTAGCCCTTAAATATTCTGTTTTTTTTTTTTTTTGCCATAGATTTTTATTTTATTTTTATTTATTTTTTATTTTTTATTAGTGAAACTCCATGTGGTACAGTTAGGTCCCCTTATTTCTTGACACACTGTTTGTTTGTTTACTCCTGCCTTAGTGTTGTCTTTATCAGGCATAAAAATTAAATTACTTTAATTTTTTTCCCTCAGTACGAATTTCTTTATTTACTTTATGAGTAGTCAGTTTCTAATCGGAAATTGTGAATAGAAAATTTACTTCTTAAATATTTATGGAATAACATTTGTAACAAGCAGGTGTCATTTTCTTAAAAATAAATGTATTTAATCCATCTGTCTCACTGCTCTTGGCTTTTTAGAAGATTATATTGCGTTGCAGTATTTTGAAATTTTGAAGCAGCATTTATTGCTTTTTAGGCTTATTCTTTAGTGGATCGTGAAGTTGGTTACTGTCAAGGAAGTGCATTTATAGTTGGATTGCTGCTAATGCAGGTAAGTTAGTACAAGTATTGAATGTTTGATTAAGTGCTTATTAGATTATTTAAAATTTTCATTTTTATTAGACATAAATGTTATTAAGATTTGATAATATTTATGAATGATTATTGTATTTTTCTTGGGTACTTACTTATAATTTAAGAATATTTTTCATTTTAAAAGGTTAAAAATATTGAAAGCAGCATGTAGTTATGTGTTGCTCTATGACGTTTGAACTACTTGATATCTACATTAAAACTTGCGTTAACTTTTAAACCCTAACTTACGTGTTATAATATAAGGAGCAATAATCTTTTTCAATTAAACAGGGCATGATTAAAGTGTTGGTAGGAGAATTTTATTTGTCCTGTACCTAAAATGTAGAAATTTATTCAAGATTTTTTTGGTCACAGAGCTGAGGGCTTATTCTACCTCAAGGTATAGGTGCTAAAATCATGCTGAATAGTCTCAACTACCTTGAGGATATAGCATATTTCCATTAGCATATTTTTATTTTCTTTATGGGTGAATAATTAAAGTGTGTTAGAATGGAATAGCTTCAAAATAATCGTAAATTAATTTTTCAGAATGATCATAAAAGAATGTCTTAACTTTAGAGGAAAATGACATAATAGTGTTATCTCTTCAATTTTGTTGAGAAAAATAAAACATTGTTTGCTTTCTTCTGGCTCTGCGCTCAGACATCACTTCTAGTGAGTCTCAAAACTGTATGTGGGACCAGGGATTGAACCTGGGTTAGTGGCAATGCAAGGCATGAATCCTACCCCCTGTTTCTGTCTGGGGAAAAAAAAGTTTTAAGTCCATCATATTGTCCTTCATAAGACTCTGTATTTAGTCTCAGAATTTTAGTCCTCAATAATGCTACCTACTTTCAAACTCACTGTAAAGGTTACTTGAGATAATGTAGGTAAAAGCTTAGCATGGTTTTGTCATACGGTAGATGTGCAATAAAAGCTGAGTGCCTTACCCAAGATCGTATATCTTTCTAGATAAAAAAAAATAGAGGCATCTGACTTAGAAATATGTTTCCTTAACTTTCTATGTTAAAGTTACTAAAACTAAAAAAAAAAAAAAATAGAGGCATCATTTGGAGCTGGTGTGATAGGCTTATCCTTTGCATCCCTTATGTTCCCTTGAGTATTCCAGCTGTAATTTCTGAGTCCAGAGCCAGGGGTAACCCTTGAGCATTGCTGGGTGTGGCACACAACAAAACAAAACAAATAAAAACAAAACTAGAGTCATCAGAAAGCTATATCCAAATGCATTGCTGTAGTTTTCTAATAGTTCTACTTTTTTAAAATAACATTTAGGAATATACATTTATTTTCTAAGTGGCAAAAATTAATTTTATATAAATTTTTAATAAGACTTGTTTGTAATTAATGATTGACCTTTTGTTTTATAACATAAGAATTTCTCTTTGCTATTATAGAAGATTTGTCCTTTTTTGGTTACATTAATTTAAAAAATGTTTACTAATGTTGAGGTATATCTGTTTTGAAGAATTGTAATTTTCCTAGTTTTTATGATATCGAACTTTTAGGCCTTTCATTGTTGAATTCAACATATCAGTTATTCCAGTGGTTTTTTGATCACAATTTTGTTCCTTTTTTTCTTTTTGGTTATTGGGCCACATTTGGCAGTGCTCAGAAGTACATTTGGCTTGGCACTCAGGAATCAGTCCTGCTCGTGCTCAGGGGACCATTTGGGATGTCAGGATCAAACATGGGTTTGCTGTGTGCAAGGCAAGCACCCTACCCGCTTCCTATTTTCTTATTAGCTCCAAAATAATCTTTTAATAGTCTATTTCTATTAAGCATCTGGAGAGTCATTTTTTCCTACCTAACATTCGAATCTCCTGCCAGTGATTTAGCTCTTTAGGAACTGTAAGGAGACATTACACTTCCTTCACAACACTGCAGGCAGTGCCTGTAGCACTTTTCATAGTTTTATTCACTTTCATGCAGTAATACTTAATTAATATACTTAGTTGGGCATCTGATATACTGCCATAACAATAGCAGTAATCATTTACGAGATCAGAACCAGAATCTAGAAAGTGTGATATAGCCAGGTTCAAACGTTCTTCTTGTTTCTTTTTACATACATATATATCACACACACACACACAACACATTTTTTTTTTTTGGTGGGGGAGAGGGAGCAGTTGGGCCACACTTGACAGTGTTCAGGGCTCATTTCTCGCTCTGCACTCAGAGATCATTCCTCATGGGCTCAGAGAACCATATGGATATTGGGGAATTGACACCTGGTTGGCTGTATTGTAAGGCAAGTGCTCAGTACTGCCTTCACCAGCCTCACCCTTCTTGTTTCTTAAACTAATTTTTTTATGTACTCTCTGCTGTATTGCCTTCAACAACTTTAGCATAGAAGTTACTTAGTTTGCTTTTAAAAAATTACTGTTAGCTATTTATTAATATTATGGTAAAATAGTTAATAGTGCTGCACATGTGTGTTTTGTGTATATATAATCTCCTATAAAACTAGATAGATGTTGTCCCCATCAGACCTGTGCAAAAGACATGGATTCTCATTAATTCAGTGTCATATTGATAAGTATGTTGCAGCAAATTGCTCTAAGATTCATCTATAAAGAATGCTCTAGGAATGTCTATAAAACAATGGAATTACTATTCTCTATATTTGTTTTAACTTAGGGTCATACATTTTCATTTTCATTTTATGATCGAATATGTGACGTATTCGATATGCCAAACACAGTAACAGCAAGTCTCATGATGTAGACGTTACTGGGCCCGCTCGAGCAAATCGATGAACAACGGGAGGACCGTGACTATTTATGACCATTGTTTCAATATTTTAAATAAGAATATAGTGATAATTTAAAAAAAATCTTCTTTTGTACTTTTAAAATCAACTCTTTTTCTTAAAAAAAAAAATCACTGCTTCACCATCCTCCCTCCCTCCCGCCTTTAGAAAAACAATTATTTTAGCCACTGTGGTTTACAGTACTATTCATGATAGGGTTTCTTGTATTAATCATTGCAGCACCACCCCCTCCACTGTAATGTCCTATACTTTTCAAACCTTCCCCTTCGTTCTATATCAAAACTATTGTGGAGGGAAAAGGAGATGAACAATTTTTCATTTGTTCAGAAGAGAAGAGGTACTAACCTGACCAGAAAGGGACATCGATCGATTCATTTCTAGGTTTATTGTAGTGCACAGTTGGAAAAGTAGTAGAAAGGGTTAGGTGGGGATGGGAGATAAGGTTCAGGAAATAGTGAGGGATCAAGTTCTGTATGACCTTATAAAGATTTTGAGACTATGAAAAAACCACTATGGTATTTTTATCATTAAAGTAAAGTGATCTAATTCACGAATGAAAGGATGGCATTGGCAGCTCTAGGCTGTTTGGAAAGTAGACTGTTGGGAAGGAGGTGCACGGGAAGAGGTTGAACACCAGTGAGTGACTCTTTACAATTATCCAGATAGTTATCAAACCACCCTTGATGGTTTGAACCAGATGTTCATGGTAAGAAATGGTTGATTCTTGAAATATTTTGAGTATAGGACTAGTTGATGATTGCCATGTGGAGTAAACCAGGAAGAAGTTGCTGGTGATTCATCTTTTTTTATTTTAAATATTTATTTATTTGTTTTGCTTTTTTGGGTCACACCCAGCGATGCACAGGGGTTACTCCTGGCTCTGCACTCAGGATTTACTCCTGGCGGTTCCCAGGGGACCATATGGGATGCTGGGAATTGAACCCGGCTTGGCTACATGCAAGACAGATGTCCTACCTGATGTGCTATCACTCCAGTCCCTCATCTGCTTTTTGAATAGAAGGTTGGAGAAGGAATCGCATGGTGGGAAACCTGTGTGATATGTTTGAGATGCTCATTGGATGTTCAAGTGGAGATGTTACATGGGAAGTTGCAAATATGAGCTAGAAACCAGGAGGAAAAAGTCTAGGCTGATAAACAGAAAAGAGATTAGATTCTATAAAAAGTGGGTTCATATGCCTGTATGGTGGTAAATATGTAGGAGAACAGGAAAGTTCTAATTTCTTCTTTGAGAGAAATTGGAATTACTAAACAAGTCAGGTGTTGGAAACTTGAGATACAGAACAAAGTTTAAACAGTGACCCAGGACCTAGCTGCTGTTGCTTCCTTTCTTCTTCTGTTTCTTTTCTCCTCCTCACACCCACCTGTATTCAGGGCTTACTCCAAGATTGGTGCTCAGGGAATAAGTTTCCTTGATTTATTATCAGTAAATGTTTGATTTCTACATTCATTTTGTATATCTGTATACTTGGGGTTGTGTTGACACTACTTGGACAAATAGAAGAAGTTTAAGAAGCCCTGGTTAGGAGAATGAGATTGATTAAGTTGTGGAAAGAAGGACTATTAGACAGCATTAAAATCCACCAAGATTAGTGCTCCTGGATTCAAAGTGAGACTAGATAGCATATGAAGTGTTTTTGTTTTCACTTAGTCACTTTCTGTTACCTAAAGGGTTGTAGAGTAGAATTTATGCAGTGGAGTTTATAATTGTAATTATAACTAAGAAAGAGAAGAAAGTTAAAGTAATGTTAAGTGAGTGAGTAAGTATTAACAGAATAAAGAGCAAAGTAAGCACAGGAGAGTGAGTTGGGAACAGAGAAAACCTGTTGTCATCTAAGTGAGTGATAGAGCTTCAGAGTGACATAATTATAAATACTTCTTGTGGGGGCTGGAGTGATAGCACAGCGGGTAGGGCGTTTGTCTTGCACGCGGCCAACCCAGGTTCGATTCCCAGCATCTCATATGGTCTCCTGAGCACCGCCAGGAGTAATTCCTGAGTGCAGAGCCAGGAATTACCCTTGTGCCTTGCCTTGTGTGACCCAAAAATAAACCAGAAAAAAAAAAAAACCTTTTTGTATATTAACCTTCACTGCGGGCTGGAGCGATCACACAGCAGTAAGGCGTTTGCCTTGTGCACGGCCAGCCCGACCGAACCGGGTTCAATTTTTCCGCCCCTCTCGGAGAGCCCAGCAAGCTACCAAGAGTATCTTGCCTGCACAGCAGAGCCTGGCAAGCAACCCGTGAGGAATTCAATAATGCCAAACATAGTAACAACAAGTCTCACAATGGAGACATTACTGGGCCTGCTCAAGCAAATCGATGAACAATGGAAGGACAGTGCTACAGTGCTACCAAGTTTCACTATAAGCTTGTGACATTAGTACTGTTTTATTATTCCACTCATTTGAAATGTGGTAAAACTGCAACAGTGAAGTTTGAAAATTTTGCTGAGGGTCATGTAGCTATTCAGGGAGGGTTAACTTTATTTGTGGTGTGGCTCTGGAACAGAGGTGGCGAAGCTTATTTGGTGCACCTCTCCTTTTTTGGGGGTAGAAGGGGGTTGGGCTTTACTGGCAGTGCCTGGGACTTCTGATTCTGCGCTCAGGGATCACTCCTGGTGGTGCTCAGGGGACCATATTGAGTGCCAGGGATTGAACCCAGGTTAGTCTCATGTAAGGCAGCTGCCCTACCTGCCTACTACCGCTCTGGCCCTCTACATCTCTCTTTTCTTTTGCTTTTTTGGGTCACATCCTGCATTGCACAGGGGTTATTCCTGGCCCATGCTCTCAGGAGTTACTCCTGGCAGTACTTGGGGGACCATATGGGATGTGGGATGTTGGGAAATGAACCTGGGTCGGCCGTGGGCAAGGCAAACATCCTACCCACTGTGCTATTGCACCATGTATCCTCTACTTCTCTTATTTATTTATTTATTTATTTTTATTTTTTTAAAATTGAATCACCATGAATTACAAAGTTACCCAGATTGAGTTTCCAGTGTATAAAGTTGCGAATGCCAGTGTCCTTCATCAGTTTCCACTTTCCTCCACCAGTGTCCCCAGTTTTCCTTCTGCCCTCTGGTCTGCCTCTGTGAAAGGAACTTTTTCTTTCTTTTTATGTTTTTTAGGCGCTGTGGTTTACAGTATTGTTACTATAGGATATCATGCATACCACTTATCTCCTTTCGGCACATAGCCCTACTCCAGAGTGATCACTTTTAGTGGGACCTTCCCTGACTTAATCCACCTCCCTCCATTGCTCCTTGTCCATTCCTGACCCGCTCCCCCCAACCCCCGCTTCTTATGACCCCAGTGGCAAGCTTCCTACTAAGGATCAGTTCTCCTGCTCTTTGTTTCTATTACCTTTGGACTTTAGTTACTTCCCTACTGTGTTTCTTTTTATCTCACCTATGAGTAAGAACATTCTGTGTCTGTCCTCTCCCTCTGATTCATTTCACTCAGCATGATTCTCTCCAGATCCATCCATGTATCAGCAAATTACATGACTTCATCTTTTCTTACAGCTTAATAGCATTCCATTGTATATGTGCACTATATTATCTGTTCTTGTGGTGGTTTTCATACTTTGCTTATTGTTAATAGTGCTGCAATCAGTGAATATAGGAGAGCATGTGTCTTTTCTGCATATATTCCCAGGAATGGAATATACCCCCTTTTGGGAAAAAAATTTTTTTCTTAGCGCTTCCCAGAAATATACTGTTTTTTAGTTTACAAACAGAAGTGACCTCAGTTGCTCCTCAGGCTACTAATATTCCAGTGCAAGGAGATGGGGAGGTCTCCACTCTGGGAAGCGTGGGTCTAGTTTAGACTGGCCATTACCTTTCAGGATCATTGAGGGGGAAGGAAGTTAAATATGAGTAGGCCAAGAAACTAATCTTCATAAAAATAAGTGGCGTGGAGATAAAGGACAGCCTAGAGCAGTGGTTCCCAAAGTAGTTGAGGGGGCACTAGAAAAATGCAGGGGGCACTGGTAGCCTTTGGTGCAATTTGGGGAAACTTTCTTTTTATTTAAGGAATGTAGATTTCTATAGGGGCACTGAGTAATTTCTTTCTGTAAAGGGAGGCTATGGCCATGGGCCACTTAAGTTTGGGAACCTCTGATCTAGAAATTTGCAGATGCTGAAAAGAAGGAAAAAGAGGAGAAGATGGGGGCAGTTACTCCTAGAGAAGTGGCATTGAGCGTCATTGAGTTCTGCATCCCTACTTCCAATGCCAAGGAAAGTGCACTCCCCTCAGGAGAGGGCTGGATTGGTTTTGGTATTGATGTCTTCAGGCAGAACCGGAACTCAGACAAGAAAGGGGAAGGAATAATTGGAGAAGTAGATTGAGGATGTAAGTAGGCTATTTTGTTAATAACAAATTGAGTTCCAGAACATGCTCTGGAAAGGCTTAGGGAATGTTTTTAAATGTTTGAACCCTGTAAGGTGATTCTGGGAACTGGGCTTCTTGTGTGACTGAATAAATTAATAGAACTGCAAGGCGTGATAGGATTAATAGAGAAGATCTCTATCATGGAATTGTATCGTTGTGCTTACACTAAATACAGGTATTAACAAGAGTAGTTTTAGGTTTTTATTTATGGCTTTGTCAAGCCAAGGAAATATGTATTATTATTAGTCTTTAGTAAGAAGCATGTTTAGGAATCCTTTGAGGTTTTTTGGGAACCGTTGCGTTACATGACCACTGAAAAAAGTTTTTATGATTGATGGGTACATAATTTAATTTTAATTTGGCACATATTTGTATCATAGAACATTAACCTATGTTGCTCTTTCTCCCTCCTTTTGTAGATGCCAGAAGAAGAAGCTTTCTGTGTATTTGTTAAATTAATGCAAGACTATAGACTTCGTGAACTTTTTAAACCAAGCATGGCAGAATTGGGCCTTTGTATGTACCAGTTTGAGTGCATGATACAGGTAACAGTAAATTGTTAACAAAAGGCACAATGCCTTTATATTTCTTGTTATCTTGGGAGCGATAGCACAGCGGGTAGGGCGTCTGCCTTGCACGCAGCCAACATGGCCGACCCGAGTTCGATTCCTCCGCCCCTCTCGGAGAGCCCAGCAAGCTACCGAGAGTATTTGATATGCCAGACACAGTAACAACAAAGTCTCCAATGGAGACGTTACTGGGCCCGCTCGAGCAAATCGACGATCAACGGGAGGGCCTTTACCTTTACCTTTGTATCAAAAGCAGTAAAAGAAATTTTAAAGACCTAATATTTTAATCACGTGGATATTTGTTGGTTACTTAAAACAATTTAAACCTACTTCCCAGTTAAGTATTTTCTGTAAATAGATAAAAGTCGGGAACCTGATTGTGATCTCACATTCAAACAACTAATATGTTTGCCAACTATCTGATAGACCCATATTCCAACTGCTTGACCTTACTGATTATGCCCTATTATCTCCTGCTAACTGTTCTGTGACCCCAGTTTCTTAAACTGTGATGACCCCCACATGTGGTTGTGTAATTGGATATGGGGATTGTGAAAAAATTTGGCAACAGGAAGAGGTTTCTGAACACACATCAGCCAGAAATCAATTGAATGTCAAAGATGAGGGGCCAGTGCCATAGTACAATGGGTTGGGCACTTGCCTTGCACGTGGCTTACCCAGGTTTGAACCGTATGGTCCCATGAGCGCTGCCAGGTGTAATTCCTGAATTCAGAGCCAGGAGTAACCCCTGAGCACTGCTGGGTGTGACCCCCAAACCAACAAAACAGAACAAAACAAAATCAAAGATGAATGTGAAGTATTTCTGGCAGCTGGAAAGTGGTGGCAAGTTTAGAGAGGTTGAGAGGCTCTGCTGAGACCTCATTGTCCCCGGACCAGGCCCTCACTACACTTGGGTCAGTCCTTTCCCTTTGGGATGGCTCATGAATCTCTCCCCGCCTTTCCTTATTTATATCCCTCCTTGTGCTAACCTAGAATCTTCTTTAAAAATATGTTTCCTTCCCTTTAAATCTCAAGTTTCAGACTTCCTAGAGCAGTCCATTTAGTGGAAAACACCTTTGAAATATTTTACTTTTATGAATTTAATTTTGCTGATAGATACATAAAACTAAGTTTACTGTTAATCTGCTTATACAATGCAGTTTGCAGCATCACTTACTTTGAATTCATTTAGATCAGCAGAATGTATGGATGTGGGTGAGTGATTTAGCTGGCGTGAGAATTTCCTTTACAAGTCTCCTTTTCTCTGGCAGCTGGACTCAAAAAAGCCATGTAGAAATCCTCTCTCTCTTCTTTATGTGGTAGGAGGAAAGGGGAGTGCAAAATGTTTTAACATTTTATTTTGACTGTTTACCCTTTCCTTTCTCTGTGTTGTCACTGCTGCATTGAGGGGGCTGCAGACACAGGCCTGATTGTGTACTCACCTACTTAGCCAGGGGGATTGCTCTTAATTATGGTGCTTGTGCTTCGTTCCCCTGGAAGTGCTTGCTGGGAGTTACACACTAGGGTGTGCACACATTTTGTAGTTGTAGTGCTTGCATGGGTAGGGGATTGGCACATGCTGCCGGAGCTCTTAACACCCCATTGCAGTGCCTGGGCTTCCAAACAGCAGCGCTCTTGGCTGTGCCCTGGGCATGTGGGTGGCCTGGGGCATAACTGTTCTGGCCACTGAGCCCTCCTTAACCCACCTGATTGTTTTTGCTTTACAATAAAAACGTTTTTTGTATTGAGTCATGGTAAATTACAAAGTTGCTCATGATTGAGTTTCAGGTGTACAATGTTCCAACACCAATCCCTTCACCAGTACCTACATCACTTCATCAGTGTTCCCAGCTTCCCTTCCACCCCTCTGCCTGCCTTTGTTTCAGGCACTTTTTACCCCTCATCGCCCTTCCTTTTGGTCTTGTGGGTTATAATACTGTTACTGAAAGGGTATCATGCATATCACTTTAGTGTGCTCCTCTCCATCTTATTCCCCTATCCTATATCTGTTTCTGCATCTTAAACTTTTCCACATGATTCATTATCTTGCATTTGGTATAGGCTGATCCAGTATGTGTATTATGACTTGGTTTAAGATATTCTATTTTACTATGGTTTAATTTTTTCCCCCTTTTATTTTAGGAGCATCTTCCAGAGCTCTTTGTACATTTTCAGTCTCAAAGTTTTCATACCTCAATGTATGCGTCATCCTGGTTTCTGACTATCTTTCTTACAACATTTCCACTACCAATTGCAACAAGGATATTTGATATCTTTATGTCTGAAGTAAGTAAATGGGTGGAATAGAAGAGGTGCATAAAGAAGTCTTTTGATTAAATAGATCAGGGCAATGAGGAGGAGGATAGTAAAGGAGACTTACATACATATCCCATGCTAAACTGCTAAACTCTCTTAAGTCTGAAACAGCGCTAGTAGGTAGACTTTAGTTTTGACATTTGGTAGCTGATAGATGAAGAAGATAAGACATTGAGAAAGGTAAGAATCTAATCTGTGGACTCAAAGGACATAGTAACCTGGATTCAGATGTAGGCAGTGTAAGATTGGGAGCTTACATTCTTGATCAAACAAATCTCAATATCAACTCTTAAAATGATTTAGGGAGAAGGAAATACTACCTTGTAGTTGATGTGTGGCAATGTAAATGTTGCCCAAAGAGAAGTAGATTATGATTATAATTTAATTACATCTTTTCCATGAACGCATTGCAGGAAGTCATTTTTAATGGTTGTTGATATGTAGTAAGGATTCTTTATCTTCTCTATTTTGGGAGAAAGCAGAAAGATAAGGATAGTGGCAGATGATATCTGAAAATCTTGTTATTAATTCATCTTAATTAAACCCTGTATTGTTATTAATAGTATCTCAGGGAGATCAGTTTGTAATACTAAGTTACTTTGGAGTTAGTGAGCTATGATTTGTGTTTGATCCATTTGGATTTGCATAGTGGACTTATTCATCCATTGCTGTGAATGGAAAACAGCCTGATGGGTTGTGGACATATAGTTTGAGTCTGTTTGGGGGCTATAGTGGTCAATAAAGCCTGAAATATTTGCTGTCCCACTATACAGAAAATCTTTGTCAGCCTTTCATTTAGTTCCCGCAGTGTTCACTACAGTATTCTTTTGGGATAGAAGAATAATACAACTTAGACTGTTTATGATTTGTTTCCTCAGGGTTTAGAAATAGTATTTCGGGTAGGATTAGCGCTTCTTCAAATGAATCAGACAGAACTGATGCAACTTGACATGGAAGGAATGTTACAGGTAAGTCAGTTTGTGAATTCTATTCATCATCATCATCATCCTCCTTCTCCTCCTCCTCATCATCATGATGCTATTATTTAATAATAAACGGTAATATAAATTCTTCTTGTTTTTCCTATGATATCTTAGCACTTTCAGAAGGTCGTTCCACATCAGTTTGATGGGGGTCCAGACAAATTAATCCAGGCAGCTTACCAAGTCAAATACAATTCCAAAAAAATGAAAAAGTAAGTATTTTATATTTTATTTTCTAGTTACGTTTGTTGAAACATATAGAAAATTAAATAGAAGTGGCAAAATATTTTAATGATAAGTATGATTTTCCTCTGAGTTAAAAACACTACAATGTTTTCCTTGGTAGTATTGGTGCTTAATATAGAATAAATTTAGGGTCCTGGGGATAACTCAGTGGTATAGGGACTCCCTTTTATTTTTATTTATTTTGGTTTTGGGGTCACACCTGGCAATACGCAGAGGTTTCTTCTGGCACTGCACTCAGGAATCATTCCTGGTCATACTTTAGGAACCATATGAGATGCAAGGATTGAACACAGGGTGGGAGCATGCAAGGCAAATGCCTTACCTGCTGTGCTATCTCTTTGGCTCCAGTGTCTGCCTTTTACATGTGAGGCTGGTGTAAATATTCACCAGCACCACACAGGTGCTCGAGTGTGATCCATGTTTTTTCTGTTTGGAATTCCCAGTGCCACAACAAAGAATGTGGCCTCCTGCATGCCATAAACCAAGTGTGTGCAGGCACTGTAGCTAAAGTATGTGACCTTTGAAGAGCACCCTGGCTAAGTAGGTGAGCACTGCCCTCGGTGTATAGCCCCCAGTAAGCAACACAGCTACATGTTCATCATTCAGATTTGTTTGACTTCTGTCACACAACAAAGAAAAAGCAAGGGAAGCGGGGGGGAGGATATATATGTAGTAAATTTAATATTTGGAGTTTAATATTTCTCAATAGCAGTTTATGGAACCATTTTATTGTGTATTAACTTTAAAACTTCTCTTTCAACTGGAAAGCCACTGTCACTGTCCTCCTGTTGTTCATCGATTTGCTCGAGCAGGCCCAGTAATGTCTCCATTGTGACACTTGTTACTGCGTTTGGCATATTGAAAACATCACGGGTACCTTGCTAGGCTTTGCTGTGCGGGCGAGATACTCTTGGTAGCTTGCCAGGCTCTCCGAAAGGGGCAGAGGAATCAAAACAGATAAAAAAAAGATAAAAAGATAAAAAAGTGAAATCATGCCAGTTGCACCAACATGGGTGGATCTTGAGAGTTTATCTTAAAGAAATAAACCAAATGGGGAAAGACAAGCACTGTATGATTTCATGCCTGTGATCCTAGAGATTATAGACACATGAACTGGATAAAACCCTGAGTGGCTACCAAAACCTGGGTCAGCGGGGTCAGCCACGTGCAAGGCAAACGCCCTACCCGCTGTGCTATTGCTCCAGTCTGCAAAGGGAAATAAAAAAACAAATAAACAATTGGGACTCCTTCAAAGTGAAAAGTTTATGCACAGTGAAAGACATGTGTATCATAGTGAAGACATCTTTCAGAATATAAGAAGATATTTGCACACGTTATACATTTATGTTCCTTTTTTGTTTTTCTTTTTGGGTCACACCTGGCGATGCACAGGGGTTATTCCTGGCTCATGCACTCAGGAATTACTCCTGGCGGTGCGTGGGGGACCACATGGGATGCTGGGAATTGAACCCAGGTTGGCCGCATGCAAGGCAAGCGCTCTACCCACTGTGCTATCGCTCCAGCCCCCCACATCATACATTTAATAAGGGGTTAATATTTAAGCAGAATACTGGTAAAACAAGAAAACAACCAGCCTCATTGTAAAATTGGGCATAGGATCTGAATAAACAATCTTTAAAGGCATACAGATGGCCAGTAGGCACATGAAAAGACTATCATCGTTAATCATCGTCATTATAATTAGAGAACTGTAAATCAACAACAATAATGAGATATCACCCCCACACCTCTGTGAATGGTTGTTATTCAAAGATAAGCAACAAGTATTGGAGAGGATATTAAGAGATTGTAAGTTGGGGCAATCACTAAATAAAGCAATTAATGAGAGTCCTTAAAAAAATTAAAAATGGAAATTCCCAATGTTCTAGTCATCTCATTTTTGGTACTTAACCAGAAAATATAGAACAGCTCTTTCAAAGAATTGTATGCAGATTTTTACAAGAAAATAGCTAAAAGCTGAAAACAACCTCATGTGCCCATTGACTGACAAATGAGTAAAGAAGATGTGATATATATGCAAGTACTGTTTGACTAGAAAGATAAAAAAGTGAAATCATGCCAGTTGCACCAACATGGGTGGATCTTGAGAGTTTATCTTAAAGAAATAAACCAAATGGGGAAAGACAAGCACTGTATGATTTCATGCCTGTGATCCTAGAGATTATAGACACATGAACTGGATAAAACCCTGAGTGGCTACCAAAAAAAGGAAGTGAAAAAAGTGAAAAGGGCAGGGATGTGGGGCCAAAGCAATAGTACAGTGGCTAGGGCATTTGTCTTGCATGTGACTGACCCGGGTTTGATCCCCGACATTCCATATGTTCCCCCGAGCACTGCCAGGAGTAATTCCTAAATGCAGAGTCAGGAGTAACCCCTGAGCATTGCCAGTGTGACACCCCACACACACCAAAAAAAAAAAAAAAAAAAGAAAAAAAAAGAAGGGCAGGAATAGGTAATTTGGTTTGTTGTTTTTGTTTGGGGGCCACCCCAGCAGTACTCACAACCTGGGGCATGTCTAACTCCATGCTCTGTGCAGTTTCATTTCTGGCAGTGCTCAGGGCAACTTAAGGAGAAGGTTAATTGGACAGGGATCAAATGTAGGGTGAAAGAATTGGCTTTTCAGTGGTAGATATATTATAGCAGGTGCACATGTTAATTGTAATGTTATGTACTTGAAACTTAAATAATACTTTATAGTGCAGTACTACTTTAATAAAATAAAAGCCCTTTTTCCATTCCATATTGATTAGAAATAGGAACCTTTTAAGTGTATGTATGTGAGTGTGGGCTGGAGCGATAGCACAGCAGTAGGGCGTTTGCCTTGTGCACAGCCAGCCCGACCGAGCCGGGTTTGATTCCTCCACCCCTCTTGGAGAGCCCGGCAAGCTACCGAGAGTATCTCGCCCGCACGGCAAAGCCTGGCAAGCTACCCGAGATGTATTCAATATGCCAAACACAGTAACAACAAATTCAAAATGGAGACGTTACTGGGCCCGCTTGAGCAAATTGATGAACAACGGGAGGACAGTGTTCGTGTTCGTTTATATGTGAGTGTGCTATTATTTTAAAAACACTCTTATAGTGTGTTTTGATTCTGTGGCCTTTTCCTTTTAGTTAACTGCAGGGTGAAATGGGTTCAAAATTAGTCAGATTATCAAATAGGCTTAAAGAATGGGTTGAGAACTTACATTTTAATTTATTGTATGTTATCTACTTATGGAAGTTTACTTGGTATTTTATAGAAGCTCAAAATAAACAGTCTTGCCTATTAAGATCAGTGTTTGAAATATGACGATGTGAAATGTGGAGAGTGAATCTACCAAATAAAGATGGGCCAAGATAACCAAAGAGGCAGACTCTTAAGCCAGTTATCTCTCCAGAAAAAGACAGAATTTTATACCAGAAGCTCAGATATTATATATGGTTCTAGCTTTGGGAAAAGGGCCTCTTACAAGAAACTTCTAAGGTGTCAGACACTGACCTGGGAAACAAGGGGATTAACCAAGCCCATGCTCCCCAACTATGGACTGTTTTTACATCTGAATGATAGACAAGAGTCTGAATTGGACACAGGGGCATGGAACCTGCTGCCGGCATTGCCCCTAACCTCTGCCATTCTATCTGGAAAACACCATTCCTGAGGTAAGCTCTGCCCTCCCCATAGCAGAGCTTATTGGTGACTTGTTTAGCTAAAACTATAGACTGAGCCCCTCCCAGCTGTGGAGCTGTCAGCCAGCAAACAGGCCATGCCACCCAAAATGCTGCCTCCAGCTGCAGGGGACCCTGACTTGCTGTCTGGGTATTTAGCTGAGAGGGGAGGCTCTGTGATTGAGGCTCCTTCTGTCTCTTAAACCTGGTCCCCCAGAAACGGTTTGTCCGTCTACGCAGACCTTTGTGACCTCAGCAGGGCAGTTGAGGGATGGCTAGGCTGTGGTTATTGAGAGCCCATAACTGACACTCAGGACTTCTCAGTAATGATGTTCAGGCCCTATGGGGCAAATGTTTTCGATCTGAAGCCCAGCCTCCCAGGACTGAAAGAACGTGGCAGGGAAGCTATTGCTAGACAAACCTGAACTTCCTGGTCACTGCTGCCCAAGCCTCCTGAACACTTAAAATCTAGTACCCCAGGCAGCCAACAGGCCTGTCTGAACTTCTTGCACAGTTATATTTCAGAGTAACTGTGACTGCAGTGTCCTGGCCATAATCTAGGCCTCCTCAATGTAGCACTCGGATAAACTGATTTTGAATGTCTGGTAGCAATACAGAATTATTCAAGCTTGGTGCCCCAGGCCTTGCCAACACTTGTAACCTCAGCACAGGTCGCTCCTCTGGTCTGCTGAAACTTGGCACTATAGTTGTTGCCAGGTGTTGGCAAATGTCCCGCAGTAGCCACAAAGTTTAGCTTGCTGTTTTACTTATCTGCTTGCCACTGCCCAGGCCAGCTGGATGTTGACCCCACATTTACTGTTGACACCACCAGCCATGAACACTGGGTCAGAGTCCAGGCTGGCTAGACCTGGATGCTGTAGCTGCTTCAGGCATGCCGTAACTTCAAATACCAAGTGATCATCTGGGTCCATACAAACTGTATGAGCTTATTGACTTAGAACTGGCGACTGTCAAAAATTGTGATAGTGAACCCCTGATTGCAGCCCTGGTTGGTTCAAACTCAGTCTTCTCTAGCCCTCAAGCAGCACCAGGCATAAAGAGTAAATGAAGAAATTTATCAACAAAATGAAGAAATTTCCCTTTATCAACAGATGAAGACAAAAGCCCAGGAAGGATCCCAAACATACTGGAATTTTCTAAACCACTCATGGACGACTTTCAAAAAACAGTCTTACTGGTTCATGAAGTGAAGAGTTAAGGGAAAGAGAGTTTTGGTAAGGACAATGTATGAAAGAAGATATGAGAAAAATTCAAACAAATCAGTGAGCTAAGGAGT